TTATTTTTTAAGATTTTTTTATTTTATTTATTTGACAGAGAGAGACAGTGAGAGCAGAAACACAAGCAGGGGGAGTAGGAGAGGGAGAAGCAGGCTTCCCGCTGAGCAGGGAGCCCGATGTGGGACTCGATCCCAGGACCCTGGGATCATAACCTGAGCCGAAGGCAGATGCTTAACGACTGAGCCACCCAGGCGCCCACTCTCTCTTTTTTTTAAAGGTTTTATTTATTTATTTGACAGAGAGAGCACAAGCAGGGGGAGTGGCAGGCAGAGGGAGAGGGAGAAGCAGGCTCCCTGCTCTGATGCGGTGCTCGATTCCAGGACCCTGGGATCATGACCTGAGCTGAAGGCAGACACTTCACTGACTAAGCCACCCAGGCGCCCCTACAATTTTCTTTTGTTTAAAAAAGATTTATTTATTTTAGAGATAGAGAGAGAGCACAAGTGGGGGGGAGGCGCAGATGTAGAGGGACAAGTAGACTCTGTGCCTAGCAAAGAGCCCAGGGTAGAGCCCAACACAGGGCTAGATCCCTTGGATTACCACGAGATTATGACCTGAGCCCAAAATCAGGAGTCTGACGCTCAACCAAGTGAGCCACCTAGGCGTCCCTCCCTTACACTTTTCTTAAAACATTTTCTTTACTCTAGCTTACTTTATTCTAAGAAGATGATATACAGTACACATAGCATACAAAATATGAGTTAATTGTTTATGTTATCAGTAAGGCTTCTAGTCAACAGTAGGCTATTAGTATTAAGTTTTGGGGGAGTCAAAAGTTACCTGATTCTTGACTGTGAGGGTCAGCACCTCTCACCCCCATGTTGTTCAAGGGTCAACTGTACTATTTCTGTCCTGATTTGATTATCCTCACCAGTTGTACACAATCTCAACTGTCCATCCATATTAAGCAAACCTTTTTGGGGGACATCAGGAGTTACATGTTGCATTTACTGACTATAAAGCCCTTGACAAGTATGGATTGTTCTCAAAACAACATTGCTATAATTAAAAGCAACACATAACATTTATTGAGCACTATATGTAAGGGACAACATTAGTCTCACATTTAAGATTTTATTTTATTTTTTATTTATTTCAGACAGAGAGAGTGAGAGAGAGAGAGCACGAGTTGGGGGTAGGGGGAGAGGGAGAAGCAGACTCCCCGCTGAGCAGGGAGCCCGACACAGGGCTCCATCTCAGGACCCTGAGATCATGACCTGAGCCGAAGGCAGACACCTAACCAACTGAGCCACCCGGTAGCCCCTGGCTTCTTCTTCTTCTTCTTCTTCTTTTTTTTTTAAATTAGAAACCTAGGGATGGCCTGGATGGCTCAGTTAGTTGAGTGTCTGATTCTTGGTTTTGGCTCAGGTCATGATCTCAGGGTTGTGAGATCGAGCCCCAGGTCAGGATCCATGCTCAGGACTCGGAGCCTACTTGAGATTCTCTCTCCCCCCATGCGCCCCTCCTCCCAGCTCCCACATACTCTCTCTTTCTCTCTAGAATAAATAAATACAATCTTAAAAAATTAGAAATCTATCAGAGCAGGCTCTTGTTTAGAGAGAGTTATTATTTCTCCAGAATCAAAAGCATAAACTAGAAAAGATTCAGCTTTGGTAAAGCCTAGCTATTCTTATGAAACATTCCTCCAGACTGTGAAAAATTAGTTACTAGTTCTGAAGGATTTCATTCAAAAGTACAGGCTTATGTTAATAAGAATATGCATATGTATTTATGTGCTTGTATGTATTAAAAGTATTTGAGAGGGTGATTTAGGAATCTCAATTATAAGTCTTCAGGGCAGGAATCTTATTTTGCTGCTAAGGAAGGTGAATGAGCCAAGAGTAGTGGTATTAAAGCCTTATACTTGCTAAATCATCTGTCTAAAGGGATAAACTGGTTAAGTTTGTTCTCCCAACATCTAGAGGCAAGATTTTTACTCAGTTATTACAACATTACCACAAACTTGTGGATTCTGCAGAAGTTGCCTAGCAACATTACAGTTGGAACAACACTGGGTGGAGAAAGAACAGGAAATTTGAATTAGATATGCCCTGGGGCAGGCGGGCGTAACCCCATCCCTCCAGTACAGTGAGTCCTGTACTTGGAGGAGCATGAAATTTAAAAAATCAGAACAATCATTTAGAATTTCAGTTAGGATACTGCTGCAGTTAAACCATAACACTGTGCCATGTTGTCAGCTGGAGGAGGTAGGGCCTGGGTTTCTTACTCATTTTGGTACTTTTGTTTTAAAGAACACAGAGATTTTTATTCCAGAAACATTTATTTAAGTACCTTCTCAGGGGCCAAGGCACATTGCTGGTTGGTGGAGCTCTAAAGACAAATAAAACTTGATCTCAGCCATGGGTGGAAAGGCAGCCAGACAAGTAAACAAAGAGTGTTTACATAGTCATTACAGGTGTGGTGGAAAACCTGGTGCAGAGTGTCTGTTTTACCTAGAAGTGGAGAAAGTTAAGGAAAGGCTTTACAGAAAAAATGGTTCTCCCACTAAGTCTCGTTTCCAACTTTTAAAGAAATTCCTTCTTTCCTCCAGTCATTCTATACATTCAGTGGAAATTTACCTCTCCCATTCTGTGGGTGGACCTGGGTGCCAAGAATTTAAAGTACTTGGGGCTGTGTACCAAGAACTCTTCCCTTCCCGTTCAGAAGCCAGGCCCTTTTGCTCCAGCCTAGCCTACTTCAAGGACCTCCCAGTTCAGGGAAGCAGACAGGTGGCACAGTTAAGGGTTGAAGAAAAAAAAATGTTAACAGACTGTTTACCTCCAAGAACAGACTATACAGGGGTGGCTAGGAGGCTTCTGTACCATTTGAATTTATATTGAGAGAGAAAAATAAACCAACAAATATTTAAATAAGGGCTCTACTATCATTCAGAAGATAGTGAGGGCCTAAGCCACATTAGAACACTGCAATAAATGAAATAGAAAAGGTCCCTACACTCAGGGAACTCATTTTCTAGAAGGGGATAGTAGTAAACAAACAATCAACATACTTTGAGATAGACATAAGCCTGTTAGGGGAATAAAGCAGGGTATTGTGAAAGAGTGAAGGGGGAGAGGATGTGAGCTTGCATGGATAGCAACAGAGGATACAGAATTCCTATATAGGAGGGGCTTAGGAACAACATTCTAGTTGGGGAGAGGTTATCTACAGGGCTTTAAAGTTTACTTAGGAAACACTATTTTTACATACAACTCATGTTAAAGATCAATAATCAGGCCTTTTCTCAAGTTATTTTTATTTACACTCACATGAAATTGAGAAAATCAACTCAATGTGGCCAACTATGCATTTCAAAGAATTATATTTGCCATCAGCAGTAGAGAGGTGGTGTTGGAGGGAGAGTGCTAAAAACCATTCCCTGGCTTTGGCCACCAGGGATCAGAGAATGCCTCTCCTTGAAACATACAAAAGGGTAGATAGAGTTCCTGTCTTGCAAGAGCTTAACATTGGATTTGGATTAACATGCAGGAAAGACACATATATCAGCTAATGTCTGGAGAAGACAGCTGTTTACCCTTCACTGCATCTTCAGTGATGTGATCTCAGGGAATTTCCCATGTGGTGTTAAAATGTGTTTCCATTATTAAAAATCCAGCTTGAGTTTAGCCTTTGAAAAGTGTTAGAACAACATATATGGCAAAGGGTTAATATTCATAAAGTGCTACAATAAGAAAAACAGACAATAGAAAAATATAAGTGGCCACAGCACATGAAAACTGTCCCATGATATGTATCAAAACAACAAAATTACATTAACAAACATTAAATATCCACTTACGTCCAGAGTTCATGAGCAGTGTACTCTAACCCAATGCTAATGAGAATGTAAATTGTTTTTTTTCTGGACGTCATTTGGCAGTTTATATTCTTTGACCCAATAATTCTCATTTCTAGGAATCTCTTTAAAAAAACCCAAACCCTCAAAAAACACGAGAAGTTAGAATATTCATCACGGGGTTATTTACAACAGAAAAATTACAGGAAACTTGTCTGTGCGACGATAAGGGGCAGATAAAATCACTATTTGACGGAGTACTGGAGTTTTTTTTCTCAATTTGCGTTTAAGTTTGCAGTGAGGTATGCCAATCTCTGTTGCCAACGCTTGCCCACGTGCTGGCAAAGAAATATAAACACATGGCTGCGTGGTGGGCACTTGGGTTTCGTGCTGGGGCCGATTGTGGTGCTGCTGCTGTTTACTCTGAACAAGTCGGGGGGCGGGGGGAAGGGACTCCAAAGGGGGCCACGGCCTAGGCAAAGCTTTGCCCCCTCGCAAGGGGCAAACCCGACCCTAACAGACACCCTGGGGGGAAACTGAGGCTCCGGAAGCCTTCCCCACAGCCGGTGTCCCCGCCGCGAGCTCTCGTGTGTTGGCCTTCTTGCTGATTTCGGCGTCCACCCTAAGCAACCGGCTCAGATCGCAGAACTCCTGAGGCCCGAGTCACCATTTCCGGCTCAAACCTCTGCCGGAGAACGTGACTGCCCACAGCCACACCCACAACGCCCCAGTGGCCCGCACCAAAGGGACGCGGGACCGGAGGTCGCACTCCCGGGGCTGAGCCCGAGGGCCACGGTGGTTACCCGCTCGCTCCGACCCGGAGGGGACCAGAAATGTTCCCCAGTCCCCACCTCAGACCCCAGAGCGCCTGAGGGCCTGCGAGCAAGTCACCTCCAGGACGGCGTTCGAACCCGGCCCCCCTCGCCCCTCCCCCCTCGCCCCTCCCAGAAGGCCGCCTCGGCTCTCCCGCTCGGCCCCGACCAGGCGGCGCCCAGCTCGGCTCCCAGAAGCCCGGCTCCCTCATAGGCCCGCGGCGCCGCGCCCGCCCAAGCCTGGCTGCGGAGGGCGGGAGGGGGGGAGGGGGGCGGAGCCAGCGGGTTCGCGCCAAAATCGCGTAGTTGATCCCTCCCCCGCGGGCTACGTCGCGCCCTCCTTTTTTTTCAAACCCGGGGCTGGGCGGGGATTGGTGGGTCGAGCACTCACGTGATTAACGGTCGCGGGAAGCCGCGGAGCCCGAACCTGCGGGTGGAACTGCGGAGACCCCAGCCTCGGTGCCTAGGCCGCCCTGCCTCTGCTGGACAGTCCACGCCGCCGCCGCCGCCACCGCCGCCGCCGCCGCCGCCGCCGCCGCCACCACCGCCGCCGCCGCCGCTGCCCGCAGCCCCGAGCGCTCCAGGGCCGCAGCCCGCCACCGCGCGGGTCGCGACCAGGCGCGCCCAGTCGCACGTGGCGGACCCGCCCCCTGGGCCGTCCGCGTCCTGGACTCCGCGGACTCCGGCTCTCCGGTCCTCGGCCCCGGCCCCAGGGGCGCGATGAGCTTCTTGAGCCGGCAGCAGCCGCCGCCGCCCCGCCGTCCTGGGGCTTCCTGCACTTTGAGGCAGAAGCTGATCTTCTCGCCGTGCAGCGACTGTGAGGAGGAGGAGGAGGAGGAAGAGGAGGAGGGCAGCGGCCACAGCACCGGGGAGGACTCGGCTTTTCAAGAGCCCGACTCGCCGCTGCCGCCTGCGCGTAGCCCCACAGAGCCCGGGCCCGAGCACCGCCGCTCGCCCGGCCCGGCCCCCGGCAGCCCCGGGGAGCTGGAGGAGGACATGTTGCTGCGGGGCGCCTGTCCCGGCGCCGATGCGCCGGGCGGCGGGGCCGAGGGCGATTCGTGGGAGGAAGAGGGTTTCGGCTCCTCGTCACCGGTCAAGTCGCCGGCAGCCGCCTACTTCCTGGGCAGCTCGTTCTCGCCGGTGCGCTACGGCGGCGCTGGGGATGCGTCCCCGCGCCGCTGCGGGGCGCGCCGGGCTGGCGAGGGCCCTTGCTCGCCGCTGCCGGACCACCCAGGCACCCCGCCGCACAAGACCTTCCGCAAGCTACGGCTCTTCGACACGCCGCACACGCCCAAGGTGAGAGGACTGGGGGCCCGGGCGCCCCGAGCCCGCGCCCGCCCAGCCTTTTAAAAAGGCCGCGGCGCCGGGAGCCGAGCGCGGCGCTGCCTGGGTTCGGTTACATAACCGCCCGGCCGCACCCCCACTCGTTCCCCGGAGCCGCAACAAAAAGTTGGCAGCCCCTCTTTTTGGCCCTGCCCAGAAGTTGTCCGTTAAGATTATGTAACTGAACAATGGGCCTCTTCTGGAACTTCTTCATCTTTCAAAGGGGCTGATCGGCGCCGTCCAGGTGGCTGATGGTTTCACGCCCGTCGAGTCGGGGCCTTCCCGACTGTGTCAGCCCGGAGTGTGGCACTGATAACGTGGTTTGGAAGGATGCTTGGAGTGGTGCTGGCCCGGCCACCTGACACTCCTGAGCCCCGCAGCCATATGGTGCCTTTTAAATGCAGTGATGGGCCCTGTAATTTGGGCGGCGCACGCGGGAGTTCGGTTAAAAAAAAATTTCATGCGCTTATCGTTTCGTGTCATAGGGCCTTAAGGGGTTAAGTTTGAGGTATGGAGGGGGACTGCGCTTCGACTTGCGAGAAAAGGCTGGCCTTCCAGGCGTTTCCAGTCTTAAACACTCATTAACTCAGAGTAAAGCTACTGTCCGTACATGCTATTTATTGGGTAAGCGTTTGTTTACACCCTTCGGTTTGCAGTGCCCTTGTGTGGTCAGCCTACGTGTAACGATTAGGGACATCCAGCTGTTAAAAGCCCGCATTGGTGGGGTTTCTTGGACCCTTGTGCTTTCATATTGCTGATAACATAGCACAATGAAGGAGGTGTTCAGCACCTGTTTGTTGAGTAGCAAGTGAGTATGCAGATTACTACTTCTGGAACTTTAGATGTAGCAGCAGATTTTAAAAACACCCGTCACGAAATTGAGGCAAGTATCGCGTTTATAAAACTAATACGGAAAATGTATCTTTTTGAGTACCTTTCAGTGCCATTGGTCGTAAACCTCACGAAGATGTGTTTTTTGAGCGTTACTGTTTATTAGGGACTTGCCCAAGGCATGATCCCTCTGGAAGTGAGGGGAGGAGTCCGCCGGAGGTGGTTTTCAAAGCCCTATTTGGATGGGGGAAGGGAGCTTTTATGGGGCTCCCTGACTGCTTTCTATTTTTAGATGGAATGAAAGGTTTTGTTAACTTCTGGACTCTAGAATAAACTTAATTTTAGTCTGCATTCCTACTCTTTTTAGGGTCAGAGACCTATTTTATGTGGCTATCTTTTTCAGAAAAGGTGGTGGGTATCCACCTTTCAGACTGCTGTAGTGAACCACTGTTTTGCTGGAGATGTGACAGAGGCTTGTGTGTTGCTTTGATCTACACTATCAGACCTGTGAAAGGCTTGTTGAAGGTTGGGTTGAGAAGGCTGTCTATAGGACTTGGATACTAAAAATTTTATTTTTCTTGTCCTAGAGTTTGCTTTCCAAAGCTCGAGGAATCGATTCCAGCTCTGTTAAACTCCGAGGTGGTTCTCTATTCATGGATACAGAAAAATCAGGAAGAAGGGAATTTGACATGCGACAGACTCCTCAAGTGAATATTAATCCTTTTACCCCAGATTCTGTGTTACTTCATTCCTCAGGACAATGTCGTAGAAGAAAGCGAACACATTGGAATGAGTAAGTTATTTCGTACTCCACAGTTTGGTCCCCAACCACTCAAGATTGGTTTGTGGTACTTATCAAAATTTAATTTCATCTGAATGACATGGAAGTTTATGCTCTGAAATTTTTCTGTGGCTAGCACCCACTTCGCAGGAGAGGTAGGTGGAAAGTAATCAGCTGTAGAAAAGTAGTGGTGTGAAAAAGAAGGAATAAAAAGCCTAGATAGCTTGTAGGAAATCTGCTGGTGTCAAAAATGAGGCAGGCAGAGAGAGTTGATTTAGAAAGACTTTAATTTTGATATGTGTGGTGGTGTTGGCTTGTAGTTAATAAGCATATTTCAGCGGGGACAGCATTTTCTTCAGCTGAGCTATATCTCGTGATTATAAAATTAAGTGCTTTCTTACCTGTTTTTTTTTTTTTAATTTATTTTTGCGTGGCAGGAGAGAGATCACACAAGCGGGGGGAGGGGCAGAAGGAGAATCAGACTCCCTCCACACTGAGCAGGGAGCTGGACACGGGACTGAATCCCAGGACCTTGGGATCATGACCCGAGCTGAAAGCAGATGTTTAACTGAGCCACCCAGGCGCCCTTTCTTGTCTGTTTTTATTCATTAAAATGCAATTTCACTGTACACCTATCAGATAAAGTTTTGGATCTCTAGTTGATGTGTCTGTCAGATCTGTTGATGGAAAAATACATAATATTTTTCAGTTCTTGTGGTGAAGACATGGAAGCCAGTGATTATGAGTTCGAAGATGAAACAAGACCTGCTAAAGTAAATAGCTTTTCATTGTTTCTGAAATTTCATTTTCTACGTCTTAACAAGTTACCATATATATATGTTAAATATCCATTAAAACATAAGATATGATTTTTAAATTTCACACATAGTGCTAGCATCATAGCAAAAAAATCATTTTTATTTATTTATTTTTTTTTTTTTTTTAAAGATTTTATTTATTTATTTGAGAGAGAGAATGAGAGAGAGCATGAGAGAGGGGAGGGTCAGAGGGAGAAGCAGACTCCCTGCCGAGCAGGGAGCCCGATGCGGGACTCGATCCCGGGACTCCAGGATCATGACCTGAGCTGAAGGCAGTCGCTTAACCAACTGAGCCACCCAGGTGCCCCAAAAATCATTTTTAAATTTCCCACATAGGGCTATCATCATAGCAAAAAATCATTTTCATATCTTTGTATTATAAATATGGATACACTTTTTTATTACAGAGAATTACAATTACTGAAAGCAATATGAAGTCACGGTATACAACAGAATTTCATGAGCTAGAGAAAATTGGCTCTGGAGAATTTGGTTCTGTGTTTAAGTGTGTGAAGAGGCTGGATGGATGCATTTATGCCATTAAGCGATCAAAAAAGCCATTGGCTGGCTCTGTCGATGAGTATGTATTAAAAATTTTGTCTTTTGCTCTTTTATACCCTATGGTGTTGCAAACATTAAGGTTTTACATAATTAAGCACTGAAATTCTCTCACTTTTGAGAAGCTGTAATAATTTAATCAGATCCTTTTCATTTTGTGCCATTAATTCTTATTGGATTTGGTAAAATTATGAGTAGTCTTATTTTGGAACCTAACTTAAATTTCTTTTTTTTGGTAGCATCCATGAATTCACAGTAAAATGGAGTTTCATTTTTCCTGAGTCCTAGGACCAGCAAGCTTCCTTCTTTGTAACTAACATTCTTCTTTAATGGAAGCCTTTAGAAAAATCTGGTACAGAGTCTTAACTCCCTTTCTCTTAAGAAAGTTATCCTTCAGCATAAGGATAGATAACAGAAGTCAAGTTTCTCTTACGAAGTTTCAGATAAATTAGTTCAAGTTAGGCTTGGATAAAAATGACTTACCATTCTGTCAATCTCAAATTTATCCTAGGCAGAACGCTTTGAGGGAAGTATATGCTCATGCAGTGCTTGGACAGCATTCTCATGTAGTTCGATATTTCTCTGCATGGGCAGAAGATGATCATATGCTTATACAGAATGAATATTGTAATGGTGAGTAATGTGTTGGTTCTCTTACAAACTTGTGAGCTCAAAAAAATGAACACTGAGGAAATAGTTTTTATCTGAAATCCTGCTCTAATTCTGTGTCTCTCTTATCTCTTATAAATACAAAGAGAGCATAGCTCTCACAAATTCAAGAAGCTTAACATGAGTTTTAAGTTCATTGCTTACCTGGATATTAAGTAAAGATTGAAAACCTTGTCCTTTTTACTTCGGTAGTAGAATTGTGCATGGTAGTGTGCCTATTAGTCAAACTGATCATGCGAGGACAGTGGTCTTGCCATGTATATTTTGGTATCCATAGCACGCAGCATTGTGTATGTGGTGTATGGTAGTTCATAATGTAGGTTCAATGCATCTAGCCTTCCCTTTCCATTTCATTTTTTATGCTGTTAAAACTGATAACTGGTTACTCATAAAGTGACAGTGACTCTCCATTGTTCTAACTTCAGCCATTTGTTCAAAGTATTCAGTAATCTTGCCCCATTCCCATTTTTCCAACCTAGTTTACCACTGGAATCCACTCACACTTTTCTATTAAGTTATGCTTTTAGTTCTCTAAACTGTGCCTCTCTCCC